TCCTTTGCACAGAAAGCATATTACTTAGACATTCAGTGTATTCAAGAGCCAGTGTGGTATAATGGTTAGAGTATCTGATCAGGACCAAAGTTCAAGTCACCACTCAGCCACGAAGCTCACAAGATGAACTCCAGTCACTTTTTCTCAGCCTAATATACCTCTCAGGGATGTAGTGAGAATGAAATGAGGAGATGCTTCCTTGAGTTCCTTGAAAGAAGGGACAGGGCATAAATCAGCTAAATAAACTTTCTTACACCAGGAATGGTAAGAATTCCTCATTTTATCTTCACAGCAACCTTGCAAGGTAGGTTAATCTGAATGACAGGCCCAAGATCAACCAACAAGTTTCACTGAAGAGTGGGGATCTGAATTCAGATTATCTCAGTTCCTAGACCAACACTCTAATTCAATGATCTCCAGAGTGGTGGCCATGGCCTCATTGGTCACATTGATGTATTTCCTAACACCCACTTGCTTCTTCCCAAAGCAAACGGTTAATCCTGGCTTTCTTCTAACTAACTGGAACAGGAGGCACTTCAGAAGATCCCAGGAGGCATCATCTTTGGATTTGCAGGGACCACCCTTTCTGATTTAGCTGCCCCCGTTATCAAATAAAGGACACTTAGTTTGGAATCTCCAGCAGCCATTTTGTGATTGATCATAACTCCCATGGCAACTATTGGTGGTACCTGCCTACACTTTCTCAAAAGTTCAAAAGTACCCACAGGCTCAAAATAGTGAAGGACCCCTGCTCAAACCACCACACTGGCTTCCTTCTTTTGCTAACATTCATTTCATTTTGTTAACAGTCAGCAGAGTGTTATAATTTTTCCATTGTTCAAAGCAAGTTATTCTTGATATTTGCTTCCTTTGTATACAGTCCTCCAAGCTACAGTCCTCCAGAAGCTGTATTAGAATGACTCCATGAGGTTCTGTCAGAGTGATACTGAGTTCCAGGTATGCTGTGGTAAAATTATTGTATCCAAAAATAAACTGCACAGGATCACTATCTTGAGACTGTACCACTCCAGCCTGTAGGTCTTTTTCAATGCTGCATCCTACATGTAACACCCCCTCCTTATCCATGGAAAATCAGCATGTAAGGAAGAACGATCAGCCAGTGTACTTTCCTTTGACAGGCTAGTTTTCTAGTGTGTTTAGTGACTGGAGGGTAAATCAAGGTTCAGCATTAGGAGGAACTTTCTAATGGTAAGCATGACTCGATCACAGAATGAATTACTTCGGAGAATGGGAGACTCTTTTCAAGCTGAGTCTGGACAGCCATCCATCGGGGACACTGTAGCTTTTGATTGCCTGGATTAAGCAGGGGGCAATAAACCCATTCCCACTCTAGAACTGTATGACCATGTACACAGGACGTTCTTTATAGAGGAGACCAGGGTTGCCATCCTCCAGGTGGGCCATTGGCCTGATCCAACATTGGCTTCTCTAATGTTAGGTGGGACCTGGGGATGCTCCGGAATTACAGCTCATCTCCAGACTACAGAGATCAGTTCCCCTGCAGAAAATGAATGTTTTGGAGGGTGGACTCCATGGCACTGTACCATACTGAGATCCCTGTCCTCCCCAGCCTCCACCCCCAAATCTCCTGGAGTTTTCCAACCTGGATCTGGCAACCCTACCCCCCCATCCCCCGCTGGTGGCCAGGGGGGACGTGGCAACCCTGACTGAAATATGCAGCCCCACAGCTGGAAGAGGTAGTAACTAGATGATAGTAGGGATGCACCGCTGACACTGAAAGTTTATTTCCCCTCAATTATATATGTACAGAAAGGAAATGCACAAAATGACATTGTTGTGTTCTGAGTTTCCTTTTTCCATTTGATTGGCTGCCACTTAAGCGGGTGGGAAACTTGAAGCCAGATGACATCATGTCCCTTATGCCAGGGCCCCTTGTGTCATCCAGTTCTACCTTTACGTGATACTGTTCAGAAAGAGCTGCACTCCGTGATTCTGCTCACCATAATAGCTTCACCATGTTCTGCTGGATACTTTGAAATCAGCAAACAACTGCAAGACTAATCTAAAGTATTTTAATACTTTCTTTTGGCAAAGCTGTTCAGGTCCTGGGCCACTTCAACATGAGGGTGCAAAACAGCACACCCACAAACAAGCATAAGTGAGTGGTGTGAAAGCAGGCAGGGACAGTATCCACACACTCCATGCGTACGCCACTTCCTGCTGGCACCATCCCCACCCCCTTCCCCTTTGCCACATCAGCAGAGAAGTGCCCATGTGACATGACTTTTTCTGGGAGCCCCACAGCCCTTTCTTCCCCCCCTTCACAGCTGACGCAAGGCATAACTCTACATAGTGGCTCAGCTATGAAATGGGAGGGGGGCAGGCTGAAAGGGAGATGAACAGAAAAGGAGCACTTGGCGCCACCATTTTGGAAGCACAGTTTAGCTCCATTCCCGCCCTGGATTGGTTGTGGGCAGAGCAACCACAGGGATGTTTCACCTGCAGGCACCCTGCAGTTTCCCATTTGAACCAGAGCAAAAGTTTTGGGATTTTTGCTTCATCCCAAAAGGGAACTCCCAGGAGCCTCTGGAGTCATTCTCTGAATGAACACAATGTTGCGTGGAAGCTGCTGAAACCTCTGCCAGGGTCTTGTTGTTAGGATCTGCAAACACATCTTGCAAATTACTGTAAACTTCAAGGGCTTTGTCTACTATGCAGTGAAGCACGACTGCAATTTTGTAATCCTCAGACCCTTTTTCAGCCTCAGTGACTTCAAGGTACAGTTTCGACTTTTGTTCCCATCTCCTCCAGTTCTCCCCCTGGATTTCCCACAAAGGATACATCTCATGAAAGCTTGAAATGCTCCATTGCTTTACAAGGGATGCAACCTGGAACCTTCCTATTCATCGCTGGAGACCCAAAGGAGATATAGACCAACTTCTGATACCTGTAACATCCCCGTTTGGCTGTGGGTTCCCAGGTTAGAGTACTCACTCAGGTACCCATTCTCAGGTCCATTCAGCAGAGACAACCAATCTCAAAACATCAGCTGTTTATTGCAATGGGACAACTCCCACAACCAGCAACTACAGCTAACATACAAAATTGGAAACTGAAACAAGAGCTCCACCCAAAAGGACCAAACTAAATCACCCAGATATCCGGGGGGGGGGGGGAGATGTCTATTACATGTATGTATGTATGTATGTATATACACACACACACTAAATATACCACAGAAGCGCCCAACACAAGCAGTATCCCTTGAATCTCCCTGCATTGCCATTTTGGGTAAAACCATGAGACTACAATGACTTCTGATTTCTTTTTAATGGCTGTTCCACCTGATTGAGTGACAAAAGCTTCAGGAAGCAAAGGATCTGATGATTCACAAATTAAGGTTCCCTTTCTATGATGTTCCTTGAAAGCACCTGTCAGTGGTGGAATGTTTCCAATGGCACAGGGCCCACTTCCCTCAGCTCTGGAAGACTATGGAGACATCATGTGGGTAGCTGCTATTCCCATCACATAAGGCTGGTATGGAAGGCCCATGAGTGGGCCTGCTAGAACGTTCCATTGACATTTTACCACACAAGCCACATTCTGTAACAAGCTGAATTTCTGCCTTCTTTAAGTTAATGTTCTATGTACCCCACAGGGTTTTTTTTTAATTTCTTGGTTATGAAGTAAAAAAGACTAAGTAGAAGCTTTAGGGGAAACAATTCTTAAATGGGATGAAACACACCCCTTTTATCATGCTTTTAAGCTAAGTGTTTTTGCTCTGGCAGGTAGTTATGACAACCTTGTGTTACTTGAATAATCATAAGAATGAATGCAGTTATTCAGGGCCAAGTTTTAAAGAATCACCGGTTACCACCTAAAATCTTGTCCCTTTAATACCACCCTTTACTTGCAGATGCTGGGATCCGGCACTGCCTTAAACACCATGTAATCAGTGCAACTAACCTGTGACACTCACATTCTGTAAATGGCTACTTGCCATTATAGACAGAGCTATCCTGACAGGTCAACTTAAGTAGCCACTGAAACAAGGCAGGGTATGACCTGAGAAGTTTACTTGTCCGCTGCTGACTTGCCTCTAAAACAAAAACAGATTGGATCTCTCTCTCTCTCTCTCTCTCTCTCTCTCTCTCTCTCTCTCTCTCTCTCTCACACACACACACACACACACACACTCACTCACCCACTCACACGTCTTCTCTCACCATCCTTGCCCTCGCAAGGATTTACCACTTGCTCACTGAGCTGTCAACAAACGTCTGAATCAGAGACCCTCTTGATGGCCCCTGGGCTGTAAAGAAACACATTGCAGCAAGTGCCTTAACACAGGGTGCTGTCAGAAGCAGCCCAACCCAAGGCAGAGCAGGGCTTGTGGCATCCTAACAAAGAGCAGCCATAACTAATCTTTAGTCCTTAGCTGGAAATATGTCTGTACATGTACATGCATTTATAACCTTTTATGAAGCACAACTGTAACTACCCCGTTCCCATTTTCATTCTCTCTGATAACGCTCGACTAGCACACGTCTGCCCCTACCCACATTCCCTCCTAGTGGGATGATCCTGTGCACGTGACATGATCTCACCAAGCTACCCCCCCCCCCTCCATTTGCAAAATTCCCTTCAGTTTTTAGGAACTAGGAAGAAGATGGGAATCAAGGCAGGGGTTTTTTTTTAATGGCTGTGATCGAGGCATCCCTGGCGCCTCCCACCTGTCTAGAGATGAGATCAGGAGACCCATCGGTTTCCAGGCACGACTGCCAGCCATGATAGCCAAGGATCTGCACCCCTCCCCAATTGAAAGTCCAGGAGCAAAATACTGATACAGACAGGCCAATTTGCGCGGCTCCCGATCTCTGAGCTTTACAGCTAGAAGAAGCCCAGCAGACGGCCAAGGAAAGGAACGTGGTCTTCTCGCCAGGCAGTTTCCTAGGGGCAGAAATCGGTTTTAAACCCAAGCACCCCGGACTGTGCATTCCCTACAAGGCTGGACTCACCTCCACAAAATAAAAGCAAGGCAACAGGGTGACGCTCTCCTTGGTCACTTTGCTTTTCTGCCGCTCCTTCGCAGCCATGCTGGCTGGCACTAGGTGGGCGGCGGGGGGCGGCGGCGGCGGCGGGAGCGAGTTGGCGGCAGAGGCGGCGGCGGCGGCGGCGGCGGCGCAGGAGTTCCCCGGCAGCCTCCCGCGGCTCCTGCCCCAGTGCCGGCCGCTGAGGTCACATTCCCCGGGGGCCCCCTGGCGGTGGGGAAGGAAAGCGCAGCCCAGAACTTCCTCCTCGCCGTGCAGCACCAAGCCCGGCCGCCCGCACGCCCGGCCTCCTCGCTCGCCCTGGGCCAGGAAGCGCCGGATCTCCTCCTGCTCCAAAGCGGCGGCGATGAGCGCCTCCTGCCCGCCACGCTCCCCTGCAGGAAAGAGCCCTTGCCTACATCGAGCCGCCGCGGCCGCGCTCGCAATCCGGCTTCTTCGTGCAATATTCATAGATCTGATCTGACGTCAAGCGCCCTGCTCCATGCAAAGAGGGAAGGGGCCCGGTTGCCTACATGATGAAGCGGCCAGAGGAGGAGGAGGGAACGGGAGGCAGGAGGCGCCTCAACTCCTTCGCCGCTGCCGGCGTGATTGGTTCTGGGGGAAACGGGGCGGGAAGGGGGGCTGTCTGTGTCAGTGTCTGGGCAAGGCCTGCCTTCACACGTTACATTGGTAGGCGTGCACCGAAGATGGTTTCCGTGCAGACCTAAAATGGAAACAGGAACCCTCCAGCCGCCTTTGCAAACGCGTCCATCAAGCAGAGAGTTTCGGTTGCCCGCAGCTCCAGGCTCATTCACACATGCAGATTCATCTCGTGATGACGGAACAGATCTCGCTCCTTTAGTTGTTTCAAGAAATCGGAGTGTGTCCTAACCCCAACCCACACGCCTTCAGTGCCAGAGACCCTACACTATGAGCAAATGCACACGTTGGTTTTCCCATGTTTCCATTTCTGTGGTCCCGATTGCCTGTATTATTCGTAGACGCAAAGCATTTGTTCCTGCAGACGAGTGATGGGGTGGGTAAGAGAACGAGGACTGTCGTGGAAATTCTTCATTTCCATGCCAAGCATGTTCCGGATATCCAGATTCTGTCATCTTTAAAAAGACTCAAATGAACCATAGTCAAGTGTAAAGTAATCAAGTGGGCTAAATATTGGGTTTGGGTTTGGTCTTTGTAATGAGTGAAACAGTTCAGAACATGGCAGGAGGAGAAGGGGGATTCCTGGCAGCAGTAAAAAGGAAGAATGGGTAGACCTTTTCTAAGGTTGCTAGCAGCAGAACTGTACTCTGTCCATGCTCAGCAGCACTCTTGTCTTTATTATTTCCCAACAATTTCCAGGGCTGACATTGAAAAGTAGGCCCCTAGTGTGGGGCAGTCCTTGAAGAAAACAGTTGTGTAACATAAGAATAATGTGTAGCGGGCAAGGCAAAAAGTCTGGAGTGGGGGGGGGAACAGCAAGGTTCACGGTCTTTTTCCTTGGGCATATTCTAGATTGAATTGCAAAAAATAAAATCAGTGTCCCTTGGTTGTGGTCCAGTGTTCAAATGTCATGACTATACCACAGCTATCACTGTAGGTTCCCAGTCATCTTGTAGGAAAAGTGATTCATGCATCTGACACACATATCTAAACAATCATGATTGATAAAGTGCATAAGTGTGCAGTCAGTGCATGGAACCAGAAATATGCCATGAAGAATGATCATACACAGTCCATGTACACTGGGGATGTTTCTTTAAATAGTGTTCCTGATAATAAAGTACTACCCCAACCCAATACTTGATCAGTCTTCAGTTAGAGTTGCATGATTACCAGGGTCAGCAAAATTTCCCAGGAAAACTAATTTTGGTCAGGGTGTTTTGATTACCATTCCCCCCCTGATAATTGCTGGGGAAACTTCACAGCACAGTTACATGTGGCTGCCTCCATTTTTGATCCTAGTAGCAGGATTTTAGCTGCAGGCATGGGGTCCTCCCCTCTTTGGTCCTCCCCTCCCCACAACACAGCTCTTCAGCAGAACTAGTTGCTGACCATGGTGCTGGTTACTTGAGCTTTTCAAACATTCTCATGTGCGTTAATGTCCTGTTCTTTCAGCAGTGCAGGTTAGCTAAGCAGACAGAGCAGCTGCCTGCCTGTATATATTTTGCCCTTCCATCTACAACAGAACACCAGGGTGGGTTGAAATAATTTAAGAACAGAATAGCATTTTTTTTTTTTTTTAGAAAGCCATCAACTAGCATAGTTAAAAGACAGTACGTCACCCAAGTCCCCAAGGCAAAGGGAGTGCAGGAAGGGGAAAGAGGCAAGCAGACAGAGAAGCCCCCTAAGGAAACAGGAGCTCAGTCCCAGTGTGTATGTGGAGGACTAAAGTGAAAGTCCCAAGGCTGGAGCAATCCCCCCAAAGCAGAATGGGCACAGAAAGGGAAACAGGCAGGCAGAAAAGCCCCCTAAACAAACAACAGCCCAGCCCCAGTGTGTGTGTTTGTGAGTGTATAAAATGGCATGGAGGACTAAGGGGCAGTACATCACCCAAGTCCCCAAGTCAGCAGCAATTCCCCCAAGGCTTAACACCCTGCAGCCCAGAAGAGTTTATGATCAAGTGGTTGGAGGTCTAAGTTGGCAGAAAGGGAAACAGCAAGGCAGGCAGAGAAGCCCCAGACAAAAGGCAGCCATCCTCCAAGTCCCCAAGGAGCAATCTCTCCTTCAAGACTTAATCCAACTGCAACCCAAATGGTTGAATGAAAGCTCGGGGGGGGGGGTCTGGAGTAAAATGGAAGAAAGGGGAGGGGGTAATAAGCACCAAGGAAGGCACTCTCTGGCAGTGGCAGCAGGAAAATCCCCCTAAACAAAAAGCAGCCCAGAAATGAGAGAACTATCCCTTCCCGATTCCGATCCCCCCCACACACACACTTCACAGCAAAAAAAGAAAACAAAAAGCAGAATGGGCAACAGAGGAGGAACCTGGGACAAAGCAAAGCCCCCCCCAGCCCCTGATGGAGCAAGCAATCCCCACACACACCCAGCAAAGCTCTCAAAGTTATCACCTCCCTCTCTGTCTCCAACTCCAACCAAAAACCATCAGAGGACTCATGTGCTCCACTTGGGCTTATATAGCGTCGGATCCCATTGTGATGAATAGGAGCTCTGTTATTGGCAAGCAGCAGTGCCTGTCTTGCTTTGGAGGGTCCCTGCTGGTGTTTCCAAGTCTGGAAAATACCACCCCCACCATTGCCTTGCAGTTCCATGCTCAGTTTTCTGGGTTGGTTTCGTTTTCCTGAGCCACCCCAATCAGCCCTGCCACCATACCCCAAAATTTGGAGATTTGTTTGGCAAGCACATGCATGATGAATGTTGCCTCCCAAGTCCCAATCCAGCTGAAATTCAGCCCAAATTTTGGCTCGTCATGCAGTTTGTGCCCATCCCTGGTTACAATCAACATGAGCCAGTTTGGTATAGTGATTAAGTGCACGGACTCTAATCTGGGAGAACTGGGTTTGATTCCCCACTCCTCCACCTGCACCTGCTGGATGACCTTGGGCAAGCCATAGTTCTGGCACAGCTGTTCTTGAAAAAGAACAGTTTCTGTCAGAGCTCTCTCAGTCCCACCTACCTCACAGGGTGTCTGTTGTGGGGAGGGGAAGGGAAAGGAGTTTGTAAGCCGCTCTGAGACACCTTTGGGTAGTGAAGTATAAATCCAGTCTCTTCTCCTCTTCACAGTGTGACCAATGCCATTAAAATCAGAATTGAGCCAGCATTGTAAAATGAACATTAAACTAATTGTCAGCAGCATAACCAGGGACTCCCATTCTCAAAACAGAACATCTTTAACATGTGGTAGAATGTCAGCAAGAGTGGGATGAGGCTGATTTTCTTGAGGGGGGGGATTCCAAAACCCCAGCAGCACTATACAGGGGGCCCTTTTCTTATTACCACCATCTGTCTCAAATGTGAAGGACCTGTGATGATAACCTCAGTGCATGGACAGGTCTGTATGGGAGAAGGTGATCCTTGAGATAACAGTAAGTGATACCAGGGTGTCCACTTGAGCCCATGCTATCATGGTATGTTGTGTTGCCATACATGAACCTGCTGGCCTTAATAGTTTGAGGGTTAGTTAGTCTTGGGGAAAAGGAAAGCTAAGAAATGAACCATCAGAACAAAACCCCAGAGAGGGTCTGCAATTTTCCAGCAGACCCCTGCATTCAAGCCATCTCTAGATGCACTGACGGCTGTGCTTCTTCTGTGAGGTCAGAGGGAGTTTGAGATGCTGGCTTGGTTTGCAGCAACTTTTGCAGCGGACACCAGACAGGCACTTATCCTCTTCCTCAGAGCAACTGTCCAAACCCATCATCTTACAAAGAATGATGGGCAGTAAAGCACTTGCTGAAACAATCTGTGCATACTTTTAGAAGCAACTTTTATTAATTAGCATTTTGCTAATTAGAAAATTGTCTAGAATCCTACCAGACACAATGGAATGTGTCACAAAAAGAGATACTTGATAACACACCAATTTGGCTTACAACCTGCTCACTAATTGCAGTAAGGAAGCCATTAATTCACTGTGCTGTTCAGATGTATCTGAATGAATTTGAATGGCTCAGTTTGTATTACAGGCTGCTTTCTCACCACGGCCACCCCATCCCCTGTTTGCCACTGCCACCTCTGTCAATTAATAATATGTATAAAATTAAAGGGGAAAAATCCATTTGAGATTATTAAGTGGAGACTCACTATATAGGTGTCTCTCTGTTCATTCAGTGCCTACCACGGTACCAAAGTAAATTTGCAATCAGGTTCTTCACAATTTCTTGATAGATGCCACTGGCTACTATAGTGCAAAATGCTGACAATGTATCCACTAGGAGTGGGCACTGTAAAAATTATTATTTTAATTCCACATTGTAATTTAAGAAATATTGTTGTGGTATCATGAAGATTCACTGGGTTCCATTTCCATTGAAATCAGATCAGATGTCTGCTCATTGTTCTCCATGGGAAAAGAATGGAGAAAAGACTAGCTAGTAGTAATAAATTAATAATCAAAATGAATCAAACTAGTCTGTCAAGAAAAGATTCCAGTGCAGTCCAGAAGGATCCATCCAGCCAAGCATGGCATCTCTCCCAGGATATGAGGAGGAGCACAGCACTTGCATGGCACAAAATGGCTGCCATTTAAAATTTCCCTCTCCTCCAAGGCAGCTCCTTTGAACCGTTTCTAGGCTAAGATTGGCTGGAAGAAATGCTCTTTCCTGGGAAACAGGTGGCACGCAGGAGGATTCTGTT